ACAAAATTGGTTGATTAACACCAAGCAAAGAGTAGCTATTAATGAACTGAATCCAGACTGACTAGAAATTTCAAGCGGGCTTCCACAAGAGTCCGTTCTTGGTCCAAGGTTGTTTAAAATGTTTATTCATGCCTTGGATTCCAGGATAGAGAGCATACTGATCAAATCTGCATAAAGCATTCTGGAAGACAGGATTAAAACCAAAGAAAATTGGAAAACTGAGAGTTGGGCAATAGAGAACAAAATGAAATTCAATAAACAGAGAAGAAAAGCTAAATGAACAAATGTACAATGGGGGAGAACTGGTTTGGCAGTAGTATTTCCAAGCAGGGGTACGGTGAATCACAAATCAATATGAGTCAACAATATTATCCTGTCACAAGAAAAGTATATGCAATATTGGGGTGCATTAACACATGCACTGTATGCAAAAAATAGGAGGTGATAGTGTAACTACTTTCCACAGGTTATGCCTCAGCTAGATTACTGTGTCCAGTCTGGGGCAACCCTGAAGAGGGTCCAAAGGCAAAGGATGAATATAATTAATAGGCTGAAAAGAAAGCAATATGAGAAAAGGTTTAAGTAATTAGGTATGTTTAGTTGGAAGAAAAGGAGATTAAGGGAGGCCATGACAGCAGTGTTCATATATTAGAAAATCAGCCATAAAGATGTAGAAATATTCTCTTCTCCCATGCCAGATGGCAGGACACACGGCAATGGGTTTAAACAGCAGCAAAACAGACTTATACAAATCTCAAGAAAACTCCCTAACTAAAAGCAGCTTGACAACCTTGTTAACAAACAAGAATAGTTCTGTTGGCAAAAGTAAAAAAAGAAAAAAAAGGATCCTTTTGTGCTGTAGCAAACAGTTTAGATCTCGGTTTATGCCACTTACATTTTATAGACAGTATATCAACACTGCCTTGTACCAACCACTTGGAGAATGCTGTCTTATTAAAGGGATTTCTGGTTCATTTGCTGTTCGGTAATGCAGAATTGTACTGCACCTCTCAACTTACTTACTCAGGGTCTATAGAAGACTTGTTTGTAGCCCAAGAATTGCTACCTGATCACATGCTGCTACTACCTCTCCTTAACAGCTGCTAAATCCCATTAAAAGCAGTAAAAATACTTCCTATTACATGTTCATATATTCAATTGTTGTAATGATCACAGATACTACTATCTGATAACAAACAAGACAAGGTCCGCATATTCAAAATCTGTAAATCAATCACAACAAAGTCCAAGAATCATCAGGACACAAAATAACCTGGGTGTATGTGTGCGCAGAGAAACAGCATTGGACCCAGATTTAAAACCACAGTATTCTGTGAGAGTCATTGTTAATGGATTGATAATGAATATCAGTGATTCAAGCCAGACTAAACTTCTTGGATCGCATCATAATAAGAAGCTTATTCACCACTGATTTTGCATCTGTTAGCGTGACTTTTGTAATCATGGGCCATGTCCAGACGAGCAGAGCCATGCGGCATGTAGCAGACATCCGAGGCGCCACACACTGCACATTCCGTTGTTTGCCACACTGCAAGGGAGCAGAATGGGAGGGGTTTTTTGACCCCTGGATAACCAGGGGTAAAAAAAATCTGCTGAAGAAAAGTGAAGTGGTGCACATGATGGCAGCATGTGCTGCCCAAAGCCAGAGCCTGGCCAGCTGGAGCTGCCCTCCACTACCTGGCTCCTTTAATCTTGCATGTTCCCCTGCATGCAGCTTACCCCTTGCCTCCCTACCCCGCCGCTCCCTCTTGATCAGCAGGGAAGCTAAAACTGTGGTTTTAAACATGGCACTGGTGTTGCCTCCCTGCCAGTCAGCAGCAAACAGCAGAGACATCCGGAGCCCCTCAAGCCAATCAGTGACAGGAGGCAAAAACAGTAGCATATTTAAAAACACAGTATTTGCCTACCCGCTGATCAGGAGCAAGCCGTAAGTGGGAGCCTCCACCAATCAGTGGAGCCTCCACCAATCGGGTGGGGGAGGGGAAGGGGTCACAGGGAAATCTGCAAGATTAAAGGAGCCACAGTTTACCCCACTTTTGCCATGAATTCAGTAGGTCCCTAGATAAGAGCTACTACTCATCCACCAAATATATGTGACAAAAACCTGCTGTCCAATGACCCCTCTGTAAATGACTTGGACTAACACTGAAAAACACCTTGAGAAAGCATTTTTCCCTTAGACATAATTTAATAGAAAACAAGGTACTAAAATGTGGGAATTCACCTAACTCAACTTGAAAAAGTGTTGGATTGTCCAGACGGACATGTGAGAGCTAGAAGGGATTTTATAGGTATAGAATACAGACTCTTAACTTCCCTAAATATCCAATAGCAGGGCAGGGCAATTTGCAGCATGCATGCTACAAGTGACATGGGTAGCCTCTGTGTGTAGTACACATGGCTGGCTGTGCCCAAACAGGTGTCCCTGCTCCAAAATCTGAGCAGAAGTCAATGAAAATGCATGACATTTTCCAGGGGTAGTCAAGTTGTCTAGCAGAGAATGCACTGATTGAAAATGGAGGCTTGAAACCAATATTGCTCTGTGCCACTAATCAAATGTTATTTGGAAATCTAAAGCGCACCAATACAGATTTTCTTGGCTGATACTGACGGCCAATTATTAACCAGCCATATCAGCTGATCGGTGCACTCCTAGTAAAGGGATTGAAGTGGCACTCAGGGAGCACATGGGGGAAATTTTTGGCATGCCTACAAAAAAGGTTTGCCCCCCCTGCAATAGCATGTGACTTCCCAAAACAATTTATAGCAAAAATAAATCTTAGAGATACTGTCTAGAGGAAGTGATCCACATAAACAGAATAGAAGGCTACTTCACCTGTTGAAGCTTGGTCATTGACTGCAGCTGCATCACGTGCAATGAGCTTTGAAAGAAACTATTTTCTTGCTGTTTCTGATGCAACTCTTCATCATATATTCTTTATTGATAAAGCAGACTAACAGGCTGATTTGCCTTTCTTGTGAAATTCATGTATAAAAAAAAATGTTATCTGAAGGTATCGCCTTTGTTGAAAAGGGCCATAGAACAATTATTTTTTTAAATGTAATAACTGAATTGTGGTTGGTGAATGAACCACTAAAAGGATTTGGAGTGTAGAACTTCTAGCCCTAATCATACGCTTACATTTTGATGAAGAAAAAAAGAACTAGAAATCTGAGAAAATATAGATTATTTTGTCTGAGTCAGAAGATGAAATCATCAGGACAGAAGATGCAAAACTAATGCAAAACACAGTGAAAAGAAATAGGGATGAAGCTGCTCACTGAAGAGACTATTAGTGATCTGCTGTCCAAACTTTTATCAGAAAACAAAACAAAACAAAACATCTTCAGGGTTGATCCTGTTGTAATTACTGCACACACAACAAGAGGTCCTTCAGTGTATGTCAGAGAAGAGATTCTCTTCTTGGAGACTATTGTATGTGTATGAGTTTAGTCCAGTCCAAGTAACTGCATTTTTTTTGAGCAGAGAACTCAATAATAGCTGCAAGCCCAGAGTACAATTGATTTGTATTGAGTATTAGACCTGACTGAACTGATCTTATGTCATGGATAGAAAAAAATGAATGAATGAATATACTTAGTGAAAAAGAATAATGGAGCTAGAAGGAGAGTAAGGAAAGGGAAAAAGACGAATAGAGGAACAATCCAAGATTAGCAAACTGTATTTGCATTCTCAGATTTTATAGAATTTCTTTCACTAAAATCCAGTGTAATAATGTGGAATATTGTTACTCCCTGGAGAAGAGAGGAGATTGGTATTTTTTTTTCTTTTTTACCATATTTACCTGAATCCACAATGACCCTCAATTTAAGACACCCCCCCAATTAGATTCTATACATGGAAAATTTATAATTTAGTGGTAATTTTCCATGTACAGAATCTAATTACTGAAGGGTCATCTAAAATTTGCACCCCTCCTTGCCCTGCTAGTGGGGAAAGCAGTGGCAGAACAGCAAGTAGCAGTGGGGAAGGCAGTGGGGAGGCAGATGGTGAGGTGGGGTCAAGACACTTGACCCCTTGCCACATCCCTTCCACCACTTGCCCTCCCCCATCCCCCGCTGCTTAGCTTCATTTTATGTTTAAAAATAATCGTCACGTTGTCCAGAGTTAAGCAACCTTCAAAAATGGAAGAAACACCAGGACAGAAAAAATCCAATTCAAAAGTGTTAAATTTGACTGTCAAAGGTTCTAGCGCAGGTGGTTGCCCCATCTCAGGTAAAGTATATAAAATACAGGTTTCTTTCCTTTAGTCAGCTGAGGCTGAATATGTATTCTCATTTCTTTGTATTGTGTTTGTAATTGATAAGCCAAGCAAAAAAACTGGGTTTTGCATTAAGTTCCATACCCCTAGTGCAAGTTTATATATGTTAAAATCAGCATCCAAGTGACTTTTTAAGACTGATGGGAGTTCACAACATAAACTGTATAAAGTTGATATTGAGCACTGAGAGAGTTCACCTTTACAAAATGACATAAAGATTGCTAGTATAAATTCATATATTCCCTACAGATGATTTTAGAGTCTGGGAGAGCTTTCCATTGGCACAGCCAAAAATTACTCTTCCAAAAAGGCATGGGGACAGAACTAATTTTATCTTCATGAAAAATAAAAAAATAAGGTACACAAATATTAGGCTGGGTTCCCTATTGTAGTCACCATGGAAACATCAGCATATCTACACAAATGTTGAATAGTTTGCAAGTGTCCGAATCTCAATTAAATCAATGATTTATAATAAAAGTGCAAGGATAAAAAATCAGTTATTCAATACTAAAATAAGATTTTTAAGCATATCCATCAGTGCAAGGTATACTTCATAATGTGTCAAACTGTAAAAATACAAAAGCATAGATATAATGTTTAATGCCTTAATGCATAATGTTAATGCGTAAAATGGTACTAAAATAATGCCGCAAATCTAAAAAGAGATTTTTTTTTTATAAATGTGAACTTTACCTGAATATCCCATGAGAGGAGTTCGGCTTCTACCTGACCTACTAGAAGAGAGGGGTGTTTTTCCTACCCAAGCGCTATTCAAACCTCTTGCTGAAGAAGAGCTTGTAAAATTAACTGTGCTAATATTCTCTGCACAGGAACTTTTGTCCCCAAAGTATGAATCTACAAAAAAACAAATGTAGAAAGGTTTTTTAAAATATAGGCAACAAAGAGACACATGTATTGTCTTAATGTGTATTCAATTTAAAAGAAAACAAACTGAAACCATACTCTTTAAAAACAAAGAAAAATAATTGAGACCTTTAATAAGTCATTTTCATGAAGTTTAAGATTTTTTTATTGAACCTTGAAGCACTGTTAGATTAATACTATTTATATATTCGTAGTATAAAAATCGGGAAAAAATCATTAAGATTTTGTTTTAGAATCCAGATTGGTACGATCATTAATCTATGCTTACTCACAGTAACATGAAAAATCCTTGTTTAGAACTTGGAAATAGCTCTTATCATGAAAACTAATACATTTTCAAAGAGATTTGCAGATCTACCCAAAAGATTTATAATAGGTCTGCTCCATTTGGTAGATTTTCTAAGCGCATCTCCCTACAGGTTTCAATATCCATATCTGAAGCTGCGCAATGCCCTTTCAGGAATTTCCAAATCTGAAAAGGGTCATAAAAAGAAAGTATGTCCTGACATTGAAAACATATTTTAAAGGATATTTTAAAGGATAATAAAAGAGAAGAGGAAGAACCATGTTCAGAAATTCCTCTTTTGGCCTATATGGTTCAACTTTTAAAGTCATACCATTTATAATTCAAGAACTGGTATGTTGCCTGAAGCTTCCATTTTACAGAGACATTTTAAGTTGGCTCTGCAATTTAAATCAGATGACAACACATTTACCACAGAATTTGTTTCCATTTTAGTATTAGTCTGTGTTTATTTAATATATACTACTGATTTTCAAGCAGTTCTCATAAGTGCACCACTATATCACCCCATCTTAAATTAAATTAAATCAAATCACCAAATGGCTCAAAACGTAAAATATAATAGGAATATTTTTTCTCATTTAAAAACTAGAAGGCATGTAGAAGAAACTCCATTAAAAGTACAAAAATGTGTTAACATCATAAGTTCTGTGAAACAAAGCATCAGTCCTCTCTAATATGAAATACAACTACAGTATGTTGGTTTACAACATAGTGCAGTTAGATATTCTTGTTAAATGCCTCATGAATTATACCAAATGATTTTCGAGCGGCTGGCACAAAAAGACAAAGAGTTTACAACACTGTTCATGTAAAACTATCTTTATTACAAAATGATAACTGAAGTACCATTAAAACTCAGCATTTACTGTCCCAGACTCCCTGGAGTAAGCACAGTATTCTGTAGTTAATCCTCCAGGTTAACAAATCACTGCATGTTGGTAGGGATGGGGTTCGTTAAAATATCTGATTAACAAGCTACCTGATGAACAGAAGATGGCTGCCAAGTATGAGTGGCAAAAGCTTGGACTACCTTTCATAGATTTCATAGACATTAGGGCTGGAAGGGACCTTGGAAGATCATCGAGTCCAGCCCCCTGCCCAAAGGGCAGGAAGTCAGCTGGGGTCATAGGATCCCAGCAAGATAAGCATCCAATTTGCTCTTGAAGGTGTTCAATGTAGGCGCTTGAACCACCTCCGGTGGCAGGCTGTTCCAGACCTTGGGGGCTCGGACAGTAAAGAAATTCTTCCTTATGTCCAGCCTGAAACGGTCTTGTAGTAGTTTATGACCATTCGACCTAGTCGTCATCCCTTGGGGCGCTCTGGTGAACAAATGTTCCCCCAGATACTGGTGGTCACCCCTGATAAACTTGTAGGTGGCCATCAGATCACCCCCGAGCCTGCGCTTTTCCAGGCTAAAGAGCCCCAGGGCTCTCAGCCTGTCATCGTAGGGTCTGCTTCCCTGACCTCTGATCATGCGCGTGGCTCTTCTCTGGACTCTCTCAAGCTTCTCCACATCCTTTTTGAATTGTGGAGCCCAAAACTGGACACAGTACTCCAGCTGCGGCCTCACTAAGGCCGAGTACAAGGGGAGAATGACGTCCCAGGATTTGCTTGAGAAGCATCTATGGATGCAAGCCAGCGTTTTGGTCACTTTACTAGCTGCAGCAT